TCTGCCAGGCATGTATCTCTGCTGGTCTCTTAGTTTATACCCAAGGGAAGAGGGACCCCATCCCTGATTAAGGAGGGATACCTGCAGTTCCTCCTTGGGGTTCCTCTGGGAGGCAGAGGTGGATCTTCAGTGTCTTCACAGAATGAGTGCATTGCTGAGCACTCCTTCGTGTCTGGCTTATGCCTGTCTATGCTCCCGAGCACTTGGTGCCCTCACTATCTCCGCTGTGATCACTGGTGACTCTTCCCTTGCGTGTGCCTCCTGCCTCTCATGTCCCTTTCAGTTGCTGGGGTGGCCCCTCATTTTCCAGCTTACAGCTCTGAGTCTCTTCTGGTCTCCTGCCCAGCTCTGGGGCCAGTTGCTTTTCTAAGAAGCCCCGTGACATGGGAAACCCCGGGGCTAGCTGTTAGGTCCCCGCTGCCACCTTCATGGTGGGCAGAGCTGGTTTTGGTATCACCAGGGCATCATGCACATATGTGATTGCCTCTGTCCCACCGTGAGTGCACTAAAGAGTGTGCTAGCCTCTGGTTGGCACATGGGCCGTGCTTAGCCTCACCTCTGACCACCTGAGGCTGTGTGCTCCCCCTTTGGACCCACACCCTGCGGCGTGTGCTCGCTTAGACTCCTGGGGACAGAGCTAGCCGGAGCACCACCCTGGCATGACTCCTTTGTCCTTGTCCCTGAAGACATCAAGCCGTTCTCTATCAGGAAGGTCATATCGAACATGTGTTAGGGTGTTGGCTCTCCTAGTCTGAGTCCACCTCCCCCACTGGCTTGCCTCAGCACCCTGGTTGTTTTTTTTGTTTTTCTGAGTCTGTGTGCTAATACTGTCTTGTGGTTTTGACAGACGCGTGCTGCTGTCTGTCACCACAGTGAAATCCCCCTAGTGTAGGTGGGCAGCCACTTCACGCCCATCCCCCAAACCCGCTGTAATCCTGTTTCTGCCTCTGTCGATGGCTCTGCCTTTCCCAGGATGCCTTGTGTGGAGAGCCTTACAGTCTGCAGTCCGTATAGACTCTTAACTGAACAAGCTGCATTTACTGTCCATCCATGCGTTGCTAAGTCAGTAGCTTCTGCATCTTTACCCAGGAGTGCCATCCCACTCTCTGAATGGGGTAGTTTATTGCCACCTTGAGAGGCATCTTCACTGTGTCCAGTTCTTAGTAATTACTAACAGACTACTCTGAACATATTGTGGAGCATCATGATGGGTCGTACAGGCTCCATTGGTCTGCGTTTAACTGTACAGGACCCGGCTTATCTTCCAGAATAGTGACTCTGTTATTTTGCACTCTCTCTGCCCAGGTGATAATAAGCAATCCTGAAGTCCAGAGCACTTGTATGGCCAGGTTTTTCCAGATTTCGGCCTTTTGGTTGGTCAAATTAGAGACTGTTTCATGTATCCTGGCCTTGAACTTCCTATGGCTGAGGCTGATCTGCCTCTGTCTCCCAAGTGCTGAGGTTACAAGCATGCACCACCATGCCCAGAACCTCACTGGTTTTACTGGTGTTCCCCCGTGATGGTGGCACTGCACACATTTTCCTGCTTGCTTGTCATATGTGTTTGTGCGCAGCAGACAATCTCGAGACCTCTTCACATCTTTTACTCCGTTTGGATTTTCCTCCTGCCGTGTTTCAGGGGTTCTTTAATGCGAATCCTCTATCAGATATGTGGTTGCAGCGTTTCCCTCCAGTCTGTGCCTCCTCTCCTCATCTCCTTTGAAGTTGCTTTTGCACATTTAAAGTTTTTTTATTTTCATGAAGTCCACGGACTAAGTATTTTATCTAAAAATTTTGCTGCTGAACTTGAATCACATAGACTGCCCCTTCCTCTCTTTCCTTTTTTGTTTTCTGAACTCACAGTTAGTTACATCAGTGCTGGATGACAAGCATGAGCCACCAGGCCCAGCCTCAATGTTCTTTTATATTTGCTTCTAATAGTTTGGCTTTTATCTATATTGCATTTGGTCTGTGGACTTTTGGATTTTTGTTTTTGTTTTTTGAGACAGGGTTTCTCTGTGTAGCTTTGGAGCCTGTCCTGGATCTCACTCTGTAGACCAGGCTGGCCTCGAACTCACAGAGATCTGTCTGCCTGCCTCTGCCTCCCAAGTGCTGGGATTAAAGGTGTGCACCACCACTGCCCAGCATTGGATGAATATTTATGTAAAGTGTGAAGTCTGAGGCCATCTTTTTGCACATGGATTTGGTATTAGCTTGCTTTTTGTACTGTCACATGGGCCTGGGTATGGACGAAGGTTGCATTTTGCTCAGTTTAGGGGCTGAAAGTAAGCACACTGTGGTAGTAGCTCTGGTGACCCCCGCCCCGGCCAAGCCATCTTTGAATGGATAGCACCATGATAACATCAGAGAGCTGACTCTTGTGGGACAAGAAGCTAGGGTGATGGAGTGGGGATAGTCTAGTGAGCTTCTGCTAGGTTCCCCATCTTAAAGGCCCTCCAATACTGCCACACTGAAGAATAAGCCTGCATCTGAGGGAAGGAAGTGTTGGGGCAGTTGGTCCAGCTGCAGCTGTTGTGATCTTGGTGTGTCTACTTCTGGGCCCTCTGCTCCCCTCCACTGATTCTGTGGTATCATCCTCACCATCATCACCATCATATCATCATCATCCTCACCATCATCATCATCATTGTCATCATCATCATCATTATTTTACCAATTCTCCTTATCTTGATAAGTGTAGATTTGTGTAGTGAGTCCTGGAGGTGGTTAACCTGGATGCCACGGCTCTATCCCTCTTCTAATTACTTCGGCTCTTCTGCTTCCTTTGCCTTTTCATATCCACTGTTACAGTCAGCTTGTCAAAATCTGCAGGAGAGCTCACTACTTGATTGAGATTGTTGACTTGGTGGGTTCAATGGAGAGTGCCGCTCTCTGCTCCAGGGACATGGTTTAGCTCCCCGTGCATTCTGACACTTCTTTCTTTCTCCTGTGTCTTGAAGTTTTCCACAGATGGAACCATCGTGTGTGTGTGTGTGTGTGTGTGTGTGTGTGTGTACATACATATATATATTTGGTCTTTCAAGACAGGGTTTCTCTGTGTAGCCCTGGCTATCCTGGAACTTGCTCTGTAGCCCAGGCTAGCCTCCAGAGATCCACCTGCCTCTGTCTCCCAGGTGCTGGGATTAAAGGCATGGGCCACCACCGCCCGGCTCCTTTTTTCCTCTCCAGACTTAGACAATGTTGCTCATTGCTTGTTTCTAAGAACACAGCTGACTCTTCTGGCCTGACCTTATGTCCTATCCCATGATCTTGATAACTCACTTTTTATTTCTAACAGTTGCCAGGTTTGTCTTACTTTTGTAGGTCCTTTGGGTTTTTCTACATAGACCATCTTTTGTTAGTAAAGACATTTCTTCCTCCCCTGTCTGTATATCATTTATTTCAGTCCTCTCTCCTTTTCTCTCTCTTTATTCTGACCACCCCCCCTACACATTTGGCACACACAATTTGGGCGCCTCAAAGAAATGAAAGTGCCCCGTGGAGGGTGGATCCTAGAAATGGACTCCGAAGGCTGAGCTTGAGTTGCACCGTTAACACCTCATGAGTGGCCCAGGCCGCTGGCCCTGGGGAGCAGTGCTGTGGATGGAGCCAGGTCACTAGGACCTTCCATGACGGCTGACGCCAAGTGCTCACACACAGCCAGGCGCAGGCTTACGGAAGCAGTGCCAGTGTGCTTGCTTACCCATCGTGTGAGAGCAGACATGGCATGCATGCGTGCACACAGCATGCCGGCTTCCAGAGCCTCCAAGGTCCTGAGAGGGTGTGTGCTGCTTGTGTGTAGCTTGGGCGCTTTGTTACTTTTCTGTTGTTGTGATGAAACACTGTGACCAAGGCAACTTATAGAAGGAAGTGTTATATTTGTGTTATGGTTCCAGAGAGCTAAGAGTCCATCGTGGTGGGGAGGCCTGATGGCACAGGATGGGCGTGGCCGCAGGAGCAAGAAGCTGAGCGCTCACCTTCTCCGGGACAAGCTAGAAGCAGAGAGTGTGGACTGGAAATGGTGTGAGGCTTTTAATCCCAGAGCCTGTCCTGAGTTCATCCTTTCTCCAACAAGGCTGTACCCCCTAAACCTCCCTAAATAGCACCAACAGCTGAGAGCTGCGTGTTCAAATACCTGAGACTATAGAGGACATTTCTCATTCAAACCACACAGGGGCCACGCCATGTATGCAGCCTCCTGTGAAAAACATGCACTGCCCCTGAGGGCCTTTCCTGCTTCTGTCTTCTTATGTCTGTGGGGCTGTTTCCTGCTTCTGTCTTGTCCTGGTTGGTTTTTATTGTCAACTTGACTTAACCTCGGGTCACCTGGGAGGAAGGAATCTCAGTGGCAGAATTGCTCATGAGACTGACCTGTGGGCTCGTCTGTGGGGCACTGTCATGATTGCTAATTGATCTGGCAGGGCCCAGCCCGCTGTAGGTGGTACCATCCCAGCGCAAGTGGCCCTGGGCTGTGTTAAGAAAGGTAGCGAGTGTGAGCCAGAGAGCAAGCCTGTAAGGAGAGCTCCTTCACTGTTCCTGCCTGAGTTTCTGCTCTGACTTCCCTCAATGACGGACTGTGACCTGGAGTCCAAGCTGAAATAAGCCATTTCCTTCCTTAGGTTACTTTGGGTTGTGGTGTTTTTCACAGCAACAGAAAGCAAACTGGAACATTCTTTCTTATGTCTAAAGAGCCATTTCCTCCTCATATACCATTATGTCCATAGGACTGTTACCTCTTCATATCCCGTTACCCAAAAGGGCCTTTTCTCCTGTGCCCATGGGGGCCTCTTCTTGCCTGTGTCCCCTTGTGCCCATGGAAATCGATGGCATTCATGTCCACTTGTGCCCATGGGGGCCTATTCCTACTAATGTCTCTTGTCCTCATGAGGGCCTATGAAGCATCTCCTCTTCCCACAGGGACCCAGTTCCTCCTTGCATCCCCTGAGCCCGTGGAGGGGTAGCCTGCTCCTACTCACAACTCCTGCATTTCTGTCTTCCAGTTGTGGCCTTCTTGGTGGCCTTCAATCAGAACAAGGCCCTCATCGGTGACCAGGGCCTGCTACCCTGCAGACTGTACCTGAAGAATGTCCAGCAGTACTTCCAGGGCAGGATCGACTTGGGTGCCTGGAGCTATGCTCCGACCATCATGTGGCTGTTGGACTGGTCAAACATGAACTTCAACCTGGACCTTCTTGCTCTTCTCGGGCTGGGCCTCTCATCCTTTGTCCTGGTGACTGGCTGTGCCAACATGATACTCATGGCTTCCCTCTGGGCCCTCTACATGTCCCTGGTCAACGTAGGGCAGATCTGGTAAGTAGAGCCTGCCACTTAACCCTATGGATGTACACCTACCTCCTGGCTACTGAAGTGCCAGGGTGAGCTTGTTCAGGGGTGTATTATTGAGCACTTAGGCCTTTGTAGAGGCTGCTGTTACCACTCAGGTGGCTTTTGTCTTTGGGGAATAAAGTGTGTGATTGTGCTTGGAGATATATATCTTCTTGAGAATATGCTCCAGTCTGCTTGAGCCATGAGGTTTGAGGAGACAGAGACAGAAATCACTGGGCAGCCAGTGGGAACATGGATTTTGGAGGGACTTGACTTTTAAAACATCACCCTTCTACCTCACCCAAAGAGTCTTACCAGCCTATGCCAGACGCCACCCTGGGGCCATGGCTCAAACCTTGCCCTGATGGTGGCCCTGTAGGACTAGAGGTGTTGATGGAGCTTACAGGGCCACCAAGGCCAGAGAGATTATGGACCAAACAAGGGCATGCTGGAGAAGTCCATGGTGGTGGCGATCAGTGTCTGTGTGGCCACATGGGAAATGGATTGAGGGGGTTAGCACCTGTATTGGTTAGTTTTCTCCTGGCTGTGACAAAATTCCTCATAAAAGCAACTTCAGCAAGAGCAGGGGAGGGGCAGGCCCGATGGAACTTTCAACCCACGGTCTCAGCTAGGCTGGCTGGCCAGCAAGCTCTGGATCCGCCTGTCTCACAGTGCTGGGGTTCTAGACACCTGCAGCTGTCCCCAGCTTTTCCTCGGGTCCTCATGCTTACAGAGGAAGCGCCCTTACCCACTGAACCACCTCTCCAGCCCCACCCCTGGGCCCTTCCCCAGTCTCTGTTCAGGGACAGCCCTCATTGGAGACCCTCTCGCATAGGGTGTTCCTTGGCTTAGCAGTGAGTATGAGCTGGCAGGTGTGCTGTCCACTTCAGTATGTCCTCCATGGACATGCAGTGGTGTGCTCAGGGGATGCGCTCACTGCTTCCAGCATCTGTGGTCAAACAAACGAACGCAAACACAAACGGCCACCACCAAGCCGTTGTTATGAGAACAGCGTGGATGTCTGCCAGGCTGGGAATCCCTTGACACAGTTTCAGAACCACCAGGCTCGGAGCCCACTCAGCAAGCCCAGACCCCAGGGCCAACCTCAGGCTCTCCCTTTCATTTGCACACATTCCATTCAGTTTTTCTCCTTTATTGAGATGTAGCTCATACACTGTAAGGTTTAACTAGTTACTGTGTACAGGTCAAGCTGAGCATGGCAGTATGGGCCTGTAATCCCAGTGCTAGGGAGGCTCCGGTCAGACGGGAGAACCACAAGTTCAGAACAAACCTGGCCTGCACAGTGAGTTCCAGGACAGCCTGGGCTAGAGAGCGAGACTCGGTCTCAAAATGGAATAAAACAATTAAAAAATAAATTTTACAAGTCAGTGGTTTTATGTATGCAGGGTTCTAAAAACCTTGCCACGGAGTTTAAGCCATCCTCATTACCACACGAGAACCGTGTATCTTAGCCTATCCAGTCATTCCTTCATCAGCCCTTGGTGACCAGTAACTGTTTTCTGCCTATGGCTTTACATTTACACCCATGGTGCTTAAACGCCCCAGGCATTTCCTGTGGGTGGCTTTATGTCTGGCGTTCCCCCCAGCATGGTGTTGGAGGGCTCATCATGTATGACCTGTATCAATGTCTTTCTTTCACGATAGAGTAGGTAGGTGTCCATGCTTGATCTAGATGGCAGCCGGGTGGGGGTGGGGGTGGGGACATTGGGAGTGCAGCTCAGTGGCAGAGGCTTGCCTAGTGTCTTAGTCTCTGTCCTATGCTGTGAAGGGACACCACAGCCCTGGCAACTCTTAGAAGAGAAAACATGTAATTGGGGACTCGCTTACAGACGCAGTGGTTTAGCCCAGTGTCATTCTGACGGGAAGCCTGGCGGCATGCAGGCAAGCGCTGGTGCAGCAGCTGAGCACTACATCCTGATCTGTAGGCAGAGGGTGAGAGAGAGAATGACCTGGCATGGGCCTTTGAAACCTTATGCCTACCCCCAGTAACCCCGGTGACACACTTCCTCCAACAACAAGTCCACACCTCCTAATCCTTATAATCCTTTCCAATGTTGCCACTCCCTAGTGACTAAACATTCAAATAGCTAAGCCTATGGGGGCCATTCTTATTCAAAGCACCACACCTAACATGTGTGATGCTCTGGATTCCAGCAGCAGAACACCAAACATCTGTCAGTGTGACTTCCAGGTAAAGGACACAGTGGCCGCAGAGCCTACCACATTCCTTGGACGGAGCCCCCCTGCCAGTGATTTATGACAGGGCAACCTTGAGCTTCAGATCCTGGGGCATCACACTTGCAGGGGCCATTAATGAGAATCAGTCTTCATACAGGAAGGACAGATCTTGCCTCTGCTCGTTCTGCAGTGTCTTTTGCTGGTCTGCAGGCCTTGTCCCACTCACCCAGCTTTGCCTGCTCAGGGCCTGGCGGCTGGTCCTCCTGGAGGCAGGTCCTCCCAGCAGTGCCCCGTGGCCCACACTGCCCTGAGCTCACAAGGGTTCCGTTCATACTAGCTTAACGTAGAAAACCAAATCAACGTCTTAACGCTTTTCTTTTTGTGTGTGTTTCAGGTATTCTTTTGGTAAGTGACAACCATGCAGAAAAACCTCTGCGAGGGCTTGCCTTGTGTGTTGGGGTATGTATCTCTGTGCATTTCGGGGGGGCCGTACCTCACTGTTAAATACTTGCTGCTATCGCATTGCTGCTGGCTCTGTGGGGGTGGGGGTGGGGTTCCACAGAGTTTGTTAGCAGGCTGGCCAGCCCTGAAGGTCGGCTCTGGTAGAGTGGATGGCTAGGGTGGGTTGGGACTGGGGACTCCCAGGTGAGGTACTGGGTTGCCTGTAGCAACCGCACTGCATGATAGTGGAGATGCTGGGGACTGGAGAGCTGGCTCAGAGGTCGAGTGCACTCACTGCTTTCGGGGAAGAACCAGGTTTGGTTCCCAGCACCCACATGGAGGCTAACAACCACCTCTAACTCCAGGTCCAGGGGATCCAGTGTCTTCTAGCCTCCGTAGGCACTGCATGTATGTGGAACATAGATAATGCATACAAGCAAAACATTTATACATGTAAAATAAAAATAAGTAAATGTTGGGGGAAAATGGCTGGGTGTGGTAGTGCATGCCTATAATCCCAGCACAAGAGAGACAGAGGCAGGTAGGGCTCTGTGAGTTCAAGGCCACCTGGGTGTCCATAGCAAATTCAGCCCCCCCCCCCCGCCCCCGTTGCATAGTAAGACCCTGTCTCAAAAGAATAAAATAAAATAATGGAGATACTGAGGGTACGACCAGAGAAGGCACTTGGAGGAAGTGCAGCAGGTTCCTCCCCACGTGTGTCTTACGAGTGTCCTATGGCCCACTGAGCCGCGCAGAGGTGTGTCCATAGAAAAGGGCGCTGGTAGCTAACTAGAGCTGCCTTTCAGGTCCTCCAGCCCATGCCAGCTGACAATCACTGGAGTGTGGCTGAGGGCGGCCCCCAAGTGTCAGGGAGCCTGAGAATCTGGGGACGTACGTCTGTAAATTGACCTAACTCTAAAGTCCAGCAACAGAAGAGGAGACAACTGGACTTAGCCTTGCATACTGAGTGTGTGGCTTCAGCCATGAGGCCTGAGTACCCAGTCGGTGTCTGACCTATGTTCTTAGCCTCGCGTACTGAGTGCTCCGTGCAGAGCTGAAAAGGGAGATCCACTGGGAAACATGAGGGCATCAGTCTGCTGCCGCTGTTTCCCCTCATCTTTAGTTCTGAGTAGGCAGATAGCTGTGAAGAGCAAAGCTGTTCCAACTGTGCTGATAAGGCTTTTCCCACGTAGCCAAGGTAGCCAAGGGCAGTGTCAGCCGGGCTGCTCAGCACACAATGGGTCCAGGATGTTCATATCTGCTCCTTGTTTCTTGTATCAAAGTCCCCCAGAGAACCCCGTGTTCTCCGGTGCCTCAGGGAACAAACCCTCTTTTCTTAGTGAACCTTGCTTGTCTGAAATTGCAACAAGGTTACTCTCTCTGGTTATGAATGTTGAAACCTTGAGGCCCTGACTCCTCTATCTGGATGGGATCCCTGCTCCTTGGTGCAGAAGACTCTGACAAATACTGGTAAAATCAAGCCCGAGGCACTCTGGGTGCTCACTGCTAGCACTCCTTGGAGCTGAGGCTATGTGGCAGGGCAGACATGATGAGCAGAGGCAGGTGCTCCACACATCTTCAGGCCTGTGCTTGGCAGTGGCTGGCCCACCTTGAGGTCTGGGAAGTGGGGTATCCCCAAGGTTCTAGGCACATATTGTGGGGGAGGTGAGATATAGAGGGATTTGGGACCCCGGAGCCTGTGATGTCACTGAAGTCCTGCCTTCCATCTTCTCCTTTGCTACCCCAGAAAACAAAGCCCGTTTGGGGAGGTAGCACAGGGCAGGCGTCGGATGCACTGGGTTCAGACTTTTCTGGAGGAGCTGGAATGATTGCTTAGTGGTTAAGAATACTGGCTGCTCTTCTGGAGGACCTGGGTTCAATGCCCAGCACCTGGGGCTCACAACCATCAGTAACTCCAGTTCCAGAGGATCCGATGCCCTCTTCTGGCCTCCATGGGCACTGCACACATATACACAGACACACATTCTGGGCAGAATACCCATATGTATAAAATTAAAGACTCTTCTGGAGGCGTCTCTTCTCCAGCCCTGTGATGCTGCCCACTGGAGCTGGAGTCTCCCAGTGAGCACTGCTCATCATCCTAGCTGTATGTTCTTAATTGTATCAGTCCTCTCCATTTCACAAGGAGGCTTTAGTGAACCGAGGGCCGCAATGTGGAGCTGCTGCTAGTGCTTCTCTGCGGGGCTTTATTACCTGAATGGGAGTTTGAAATGCCCTGAGCTTCCAGAGCCTCATCTCTCCGTGTGCATGAAGTCTGTATTTGTATCTGTTTGTCTATTCATTTCGAGATAGACTCTGTGCCCCATCCTGTTTTCAGACTCCTTATCCTCCTGCTTCAGCCTCCCAAATGCTAATGACAGGCAGGCGCCACTATGCCTGGATTAACAGGAATTTATTATGTTGAAATGGAATCAGTACAAATGTCCATCCCTTAGTCTCACCAGCCACCCTTGGAGTGCTTGGCAGCTCTGTGGTGCTGAAAGGTGTGAACTCTAGAAGAGTCTTTAGATAGGGCTTCGTGGAGGGCAACCTCCATTCAGCTAGCAAAGGGGTGCTTCGGGCACCCCTATTCTTGGGCAAGGGTGAGCAGTGCCTCTCTGGCCAGGGATGTGGAGGACTGGTCTCTTCTGCACACATTGCCACCATCAGTGACAGGATTCTGGCTAAGGAGCCTAGACAGTGAGGTCCCGTTTCTAGTGCCTGCCTTCATCTCCGACAGTCAGTTCCTGAAAACACTCAGTTCTTATCAGCAATTTTTGGCGGTCTCTTTCAGAGGCCCCCTTTGATTGTGGAAATTTGGGGTTCTGCTCCATCACCTCCCACCATCCAGTACTCCCATTCCTGCACAGATGCAGTTCCTGAGTGAGCTAAGGGTGTGTGCTGGTGCTGGGTCACCGGGAGCGCAGGCCGTTGGTCGTCTGCTTTGTATTCTTTACTGCTTTCGGTTTGCCTTGGCAGCATGCAGATCAAAGGCTGAGTTCGGAAAGGATTCATCCCGTGCCCTGCAGATGTAGGATTCTTCTGTCCCGGTGGGAATGTGCTTCCTGATGTCCCTTCACCTGGCCTCTGGAACTCGCACTGTCCTGTGCTTTGGAAACTGCTGTAGTCTGCCAGGCTGAGCAGCAGGGCTTCAGGTCTCCTGAAGGACGGGGCTGCTCTTGGCAGGCGCCATCCCAGCACACACAGTACCCAGTGTGACTGCTGTCCCCAGCCTGATGGCTGTCCCTCAGCATGACTGCCGTCCCCAGCTCATCCGCTGTCCCTGGCATGGCCACTGTCTGCCCTGGGTTCCAGGCCATGCCAAGCTCTGTGTGCAGTGTGAAAGAGTTTATATAGAGAGGGCTATAACCTTGTCTCCAGGCCTTGAGTCCTATGTCCCATCCTCTGGGTTTCCTCAGTTTGATTCCCAGACCGACTCCTCCTAGGGCTGGGCTGTGGGGGGCCGGAGCGACGGTATGGCTACTCTGACTCCAAGGGCGATGACGGGAAGAGCGTGGCCTGCTGTAGGAGCCACCCGTTGAGAGACTGGAGAGATCCCGTGAGGGACTCCAGCCAAGCAGCATAGCTTCCTCCAGCCTGGCTCTTGGGCTATACTGTGTGGTTGGTCTTCCAGGCCTAGACAGGCAGTCAGGAAATCTAGCATATTCCAGAGGCCTTTGGAGTGTTTTAGACCACAAAAACATTTTGTAAGTTCTTTGTGTTTTCTGTGGTGGTGAATGGGGTGTAGGCCTTGACCTCCAAATAATGCCCGACAGTGTAACCCACACTTCCTGTTCTCTCTGCCTAGACCCCTTGGGACACTGGCTTTGGTCTCACTGTCTCTAGGCCACACTGTCTCTGGTGACCGTAAAGAACACGGGGACCAAGCTGCTGTTGGGTGTAGTACTATGAGAGCCTTGTGCCTCAGGAGCTCCCATCAGGCTTAGGGGGGGGGACTAGAAACCTTCGGTGTCCCTTGGGCCCCCACCACAGTGCAGGGCAGCACATGTCTAGGAGTCTAAGGATCTCCGGGGTGTGAAGGCCCCTGGGACTCAGAAAAGGGTTCTAGAAGACCCTGTGCCTTCTGTGTTCCAGTGTGATACAGTCAGGATAAGAATTGGACACTTTAGTGTCTGAACGAGTCTGAGCTCCTTCAGTTCAGCAAGAAGCTGCACTGATAAGTGATTAGTTTGTCCTCAGCTGATGAGGACAAGGACAGAAGTTCTGCTGTGTCAGCTGCCTGGGCACAGTGTCCAGGCACAGGGACCCACAGAGGCATCTGCCTCGGATCACACGCAACCCATTAGCTGTAACCACAGCAGGAGTGTGGGGACAACTTTAGAGCATGCACCCCAAGGAAGGGGCAAGCCAGTGGGCAGGCCACAGGGGAGAGAGGCCAGGGGTCTGCAGGAAGCTGATTGGCATGTCAACAACCATGGCTCCCATGCAGCCCAGGAGGGCCCAGGCTGCATTGCAAGAATGGTACTCAGAGATTACTTCGTGAATTCTGCTCTTGGCCACCATATCTGTAGTCTTTCCAAGTGGATGCAGCTCTTAATGACTTGGGGAGCTTTGTTCTTGCCAAGTGGAGGGTTCCCTCTCCTGTCAGCCCGTCCTTGGCAGGCCCTGGGCTGCATGGGATGTTTATATGGCTGGGACACTCGAACCTGGGTGTTTCCCTTCATGGCAGCACCTCCCGCCAGCCGTTGTGAATTAAATGCCCCATGTGACCCTTCACCCTTGCCGCTCTTAAATTCATGCTTTAAAAACAGCTTAATGAGGGGTTTACTGGCCCAATTGGAAGTTTTTATTAAGACCCATTAGTGAGGGAGCAGAGGCCGCCTGCAGGAAGTGATTAGCACAGTGGCCCAGCCCAGCAGGTTCCATGAAACTGTTTCCAGACCCGTGGCTGACACTGCAGTGGCCTGCGTAACCCTCTGCTGCAGTTTCTAGTCCTTGTTCTC